TGTGTGTGTGTATGGAAGATAGTGTATGTGTGTGTTGTGTATGAGTGTGTGTATGAGAGATTGTGTGCGTGCGTGCGCGTGCGTGCGTGCGTGCAAAACCATAATATTTGTAGCACTTGTCGACCTTCTGTAAGTGTTAGGCATGAGTTCTGGCGTGCGCGTCTGGCCTATTTGGATAAATAAAACGTACGGTAGAGATAATTGCATGCTGTTGTGCGTGCCCAAGAGGAATGTGGTCAGGTGTAGCCAATGAGCATGGCACTCACACCGAAGTTGTATTCATGGTTTGTTTTACCGAGGGCTTGGAGGAAAGGAGCTGGTAGAAGGATGAAAAGAAGGAAGGGGTTGTTCCCAAAGTTATAGTGGCACTCGTGTAGCTCCCATTATAGATGTCCTTGCTTTCTATAAATCTCAAAATCCTGGAAAACAACCCTCCCCTCCTTTTATTTTTGGAGGGGGGGATGACAGAAGAAAATGTTAGGGCCTGCAATACGATGTTTGAGGAAAGGGTTTAGAGAGATTTTCGCTTTTTACAGTTTACAGACAGAGTGTGGAGTGGTATCAAAAGGCAAATGATTGTACGAGGATTGAAGGTGGAAAGGGGGGAGGGGGGGGAGAGAAGGAGGGAGGGGGAGGTCGGGAGGAGATTTTTGGAGGTGGGAGGGGGTGGAGAAGAGATTAAATGAGGAATGGTGGAAAGTGAAAAAAGAAAAAAAGAATTGAGATGGAAGGAGAGCTCTTTTGGCCTGTCTGAACCGAATTATGTTCTCCGGAACTTTTGACAAGTGGAATTTCTCAATGTCTTATTGGGGAATTAACTTCGTCAGGGTGCGTGTTTATTTGGGTACAATAGCGAAACAGACGTGTTCGTAGGTGTGTTTGCTCCTTTTATCGTATCAGACATCTGTCATCACATCTATCATCCTTTTCTCTCCTTCTTGTTTGTGTTTGTTGCTCTCTTTTAACACCTATAATCGTGGACACATATATCAATAACCTTATTGTGTTGCAAGCGCCGTAAAACTCTTACCAAAGCAAAAATATGAATCGTTTTCAAGTTGCTTTCTGATTTATCCTCCTCATCGTTATAACCAGCCTGTCTCACTCCATGCTTCAGTATGGCCACCAACAAACAAGAGCTCCCCGTCTGGTTTTGCCCTGGGCTATAGGTCTCCACCTCTGTCGAGCTGTATTCCGTCTCCAGTAAGGTCTGAATTTATTTACCGTACTTTCTGTCTCTTTCCTCGTGGATTCCATCCGAAGACTCTGATTCATACGACGTTCAAAATAATGGACAGACATCATGCACGTACGTTTGACTTAATGAAAAGAGTTCCTCTCCGTCTTGTGCATTTGGACAGGTAGGGGAGAGGCTGTTGTTTGGGCAGTCATTTGAGCAGTCGGTCGGGATAAGTGTGTATGTGTGTTTTAGGAGGGTTTTATTTGCGGGGGGG